ATTTTTGACATTTTTACCTATTGTGTCTCTTTGTGTTGTTCACGCATCGTTGTCAATATAATGGAATTTGATGCGACTGTCATACAAGTGGGAGGTTTAGCTATAAAACCAGGTTCAATCCACCATTTTCTCCATAAGAAAATGCCAGTACCAAGTCAGGAATATGACAGTTGTTATCCATTCGTTTGCTGTATTTGAGCTTTTGATTTTGCCATTTGATTAGGGACTTTCCTTTTTGAATTTTCCTCGGAGTTCAGTATTTTTGTAATTTTACTTTTTTCATAGAACAGTTAAAACCTACTGTTCTCTACAAAATAAAACAGTAAATTCTAGTTGTTATGTACAAGGAATTAACCATATGTTTAGGTTCAGTATTTTCTTTTGGCACTGTTTGTAAATATTTATTTGTAATTAACCAACGCATGCGCAACAGTAAGTAATCATAAACAAATCTGATGGACACCTCTATACATACGAAGGAGGAAGAAGAAGAATGAAACAAGAAATCATGTGTCAGAAACTAACATATTTTATAATTTCAACATTAAAACGCAATCGCATATGTGAATGTCAATCTGTAAAATATACTCAAATTGCATCAGCATAAATATTCCAGAGCTATGACAATGAGGATTCATTTTTTTTTATCATTGCAAAAACTGTTAACTAATTTATTTCCCAAATGTTATTACTAATGTCTTTTTTTCTCTTGAATTTTGTTGTTTAGAATAAGTTTGTTTGAATGCTGAAAGAAGCATGACACATGCACGAATTGATGTTTGTCTTTAGTTTTTTTGTTTTGATTACAAGTTCATACAGTTTTAATTAATGTTTTATTTTTCAGAATGAAGGCAATGTACTCTCCTGTAGCAGTTGCTCTACTTTTTATTGCAGTGTCTTTTGAAGTTGATTTACCATGTCCTTACAGATGTACATGTGAAAAAAACTACTACTACTACACAAATATTGACTGTAAAAACAAAGGATTGACTGTGTGTCCATCGTACTTCCCAGCAAGATCATCCTACATGTAATATGTCTGCATTTTGTGAAATCTTTTTATTGAATTTATTTTAAAAAGTATTATTTGAAGAATGATGATAATTTTTACATTTATGTGGAATTGAAAAAAAGAGCATAAAAGTTCTTTTAAACAAAAAAATCGAATGGAGATACTAATAATATACGTCCGTTATAAAAATTCTTAAACTAAACTGTCACACACTAAATGTTTTAGGTAAAGTTTACCTAAGGTTTTTGCTACTCGTTTATGGCATTATGGACGAGTATCATGCTCAAAGCAATCGATATGATACGTTTTTTTTTGCTATCACGTAATCAATACTACTGCTTTTGCATTTTAAATCCCTGAAGTTCCTTCCATAATGTATCATGATAAATAAACATATATGTTACCAAAGAGGCATTCAAAAAGAAACAATACTATGACAAAAAATAAAAAGAAATTCCAATGAAAGGAAAAATAACTGTCCACAAAACAGAACACAAAAACCAGATTGATGTATGAAAAACCGGAGATAGCCTCAAATACAGCCGTAGAGTAAACAATTACTGTTCTACTAAAAACATGAATTACTTTTGTCTACATGTTCATGACAAGTAACAACCCGATGATGTCGCATACTGTGGTGTTATAAAAACGAAAGACGAATGGGGTTGTTGCTTCGGCAATAGAATACATCCTTGGTTTTCTATATCGCTGATATTTTAAACTGTCAGCCTCATCGAGAATGGCGTTTGATACAGTATACAAACATTCAACTTTATCCGGCACATTTACCTATTGAACAGTTTTGCTGTCTTGTTTTAACATTTTGTCTTTAATACTATTAAAACTGTTTTCCTCATTAATACTTTATCTGAATGGATCAAAGTTGTTCTATATTGCGTTCAGAAGCGCATTCAAAGCTCCAATTTACAATGAGCACACAGTTTTCTAATGGTTGTGGATTTTTTTATCCTAACTTCAGGACGAATATGCTGTTGTTCCGGCAGACAATGCCTCAGACAATATATGTTTACATTCAGAATTAAGGCGACCTATGTTTAAATCTTGTAAATCGATTAAAAAAACACAAATCAAGTTAACAAACAAAAAACTGAGGGAATCAAAAGGAAGCGTCTTCTGTTATGAATATCGGCATCATTTTGAATATCTAACCAAACACTTCTTAACAAAACTGGAAAACCCTTCAATGCTCTCACAACATTCACGTAATAGATGTTAGAAATTCACAAAACCGTCCTTCTCTCCATTGTTCTTAATATAAAAAATGAAAATCTCCCTAGTATATACTGGAAACCTAAACTTCACAAAAATCCTCATAATAACGAAGGCTGCTGTCAATCAGATGTTGTTTCTTAAAACTTATAAAGATTTACTCCAAAATCTTCAATCATTACTTTATAATTTTGTAGTGGTATCATATTTTTCTACGCTTAACACTTCTATTCCCGATGCTCAAGTAAAAGACCGACTTCCAATCTATAACCACTGGTATTGTCAGTTTTCCTGCCGAAGGTCGATGGTTCTAGCATATTTAATTTTACCTTTTTGATAACAGAAACAGGTTTATGATAAGTTGCAAATGAACCAGAAAACAAATTGTTCAAAAGACCGTTTTATTAAAGAGAACTTCTCTTTGATAAGATTGTTTGGAATTTTAATGTAAAGAGTCGAAAAGTCATAACTTTAAATTAAAAGACCCTAAAATATGACCTTATCATACCTCCTTTTACTTATAATTTGATTAACTACAAATTATTTGAAACAAGGCACTAACGGGAGGGATTGTACTTGATTTTCATATGATAAAGACATAATCTTTCTATCAGTTTAATTGAGGTTTGGAGCTGGCATGTCAGTAGCTACTAGTAGTCCTTTGTTCATTTATGTATCATTGTCATTTTGCGTAGTTTCTTTTGTTACCTATTCTGACATCGGACTCGGAACTTCTTTTAAACTGAGTTTTACTGAGCATATTGCTATGTGTTTCTTTTTTTCTACATTGACTAGAGGTATAGGGGGAGGGTTGAGACCTCGCAAAACATGTTTAACCCCGCCGCATTTTTGCTCCTGTTCCAAGTCAGGAGCCTCTGGCCTTTGTTAGTCTTGTATGATTTTTAATTTTAGTTCATTTATATGTTTTGGAGTTAAGTGTGACGTCCATTGTCTCTGAACTATTACACAATTTTATTTAGGGGCCAGCTGAGGACCACCCTCGGGTGCGGGATTTTCTTGCTGCATTGAAGACCCATTGTTGGCCTTCGGCTGTTGTCTGCTCTTTGGTCGGGTTGTTGTCTCTTTGACATATTCCCCATTTCCATTCTCAATTTTATACCATATGTTTCTTTAGTTTTCTTCAGTCTCTAACTTGAATACCGCTTCTGTCTACTTTGTCAGGTGTTCATTTTTAAATTATACGTCAAAGGATGTATAATACTTTGTAACGAGACAGTTTTAGTAGATCAAACCAGAGAACACTGGAAAACAAGTCAATGATCAAGCTTAAGCATGTTGGGATGATCGCTGAGAATATTGATTATTTCAATACGTACAAATGCTTACAAATTGAGCTTGTTCTAACAATTACCAATGACCAGTCAATAAGCAAAACACAAAACGTGACTGAAAGGTTTACACAATAAAAGAAAAAAAGAATATCTCCTGCTTTTATTTTCATCATTATGAAATTTCCATCGAAAATAAAAATGCGATATGCCTATTAATGTTTATTTGTAAAAATATAAATTTGAATAAAATGACATGTTCATATGACTATAGCATATTAGAATCAAATTTTTCCTAAAATGTTCACAATATCAAGGAAAATGTTCTGTTCTAAGTAAATATTCCTTAACTTTCATGAAAATATACGTAGCACTTTTCATAACTAGTAAAGAAGCAGAAAAACTTTAACATGATAGAACGATATAGAAAATAATTTATGGCTGCACCTTTGATAAGATTGCAGCAATACCTTATACTGCTACCGTGTAAAAAAACATGGAAACAGATTGATAATTGAAAGTAGTTTAAATTGATGCCTTAATCATGTTAATATAGCACTGGCTTTCAAATAATCGGTTTTGAGCGTTCCTGAAGAAGGAAAATCCAGAAAAGCGATTCGGACGCATGAAATGTGTAACATGTTGTTTCATTTTTTTACAGCACTGGATAGTTACCTCTGCTGATGGACTATCGGTTCCAAAGTTATCATCGGCTCGGTAGCCAGCACTTCGGTACTGACATGATTTATAACAAACCTTTCTAAAATTTTCCGTTTGTAAATACTGAAATTATATTGAAACTATGGTTTCAACTTCCTCAGGCAAAGTTGACCTTAGATGAATTTGGATACTTTTAAGGTCCTTTTTGGTTATATAGATCTCAACTTTTTCGGTTCTTATAATCCTTGTCTTTCAAATATTCGGCTTTGAGCGTCCATGATGAAGGTAAATCCAGAAAAGAGCTTCAAACGCATGAAATTAATAACGTGTTGTTTTAAGGTTAGTTGATTGCCAATTAAATTGGTATACGATGATGTTAAATGATCTGTTGTTAAGAGTTGCGTAACATATCACCTTAAAAAGATCTATAAGATATGACTTGAGTAAACAGAATGCAGTCATTGCTTTCTCTTATTTTATGCAAAAATTCTTATATATAAAAACGATATTCATTTGAAATTTGGTTACAGTAAACTATCATATACTAGTAATTATGGAAGTGACGATTGATGCGGGGAGTCACTATAAGTAGCCCGGCCGTGGCTATTTATTTCACTTTATTGATAGAAAAGCTAAACGAACTTCTTATTTTTGTAATCTGTGCCAGACAAGCTATTGCCTTGCACCATGAGTGAATTTTTAAAAAAGAAATTACTATTTGGCAAACTAAATATTTCTTATCAACAAATCTAAAATTTAAAAAACATTGTTTTTTATATACTATTAAAAGTATTGTTTTGTTTCAGATATTTGCAGGACAATCAAATTACTACAGTGCAACAAGGAGCGTTTCAAAACTTAGAAGTTCTATTCTCAATGTATGTATAGATGATGGATGAAAATAATAAAAAAGCGTTGACTGAATATAATGTTCCATATGTTTATTATGTTTTACACTTATCCACAACCGAAAATGAATTGGAAAGAGGATCAAGAGTCAAATTGACACCACTAGTTAATCGCTTTTTGACTTAAAACAGACATTTTGATTTGCACAGGTTTAACAAGACCAAACAATAAATTTATTAACTTTGTTCACTATTTCAGTCAATTTTCATACGTATCCACTATGCTAATCCAGAATTATTCTATCACATCGCGTTTAGTCCATTAAAAATCCGATATGTCAATGTAAAACTGGTCATTAGTTGTAATAAACCTGTGTAAAACAACACAGTACTGAATTTTCTGAACTATACATGATTGACCGAAAGTGAAATGTTTGAACACTCCTGAATTGATGGCAAGCGAAATGTCTAAAAGTACTTAACTGATGGCAAGCGAAATGTCTAAACAGTACAGAATTGACAATAAGAAAATATCTGAATTACAACGCAAACTCTTAACAAGATAAATATAGATTCTACCACCCGCATCGAGTGTGATATGATATTTATCCACTCTCGACAGTTAAATTTTCAAATTTAATATTTAACTGTCGAGAGTGGATAAATATCGTATTACACGAGATTTGGTGGTGGAATCTGTTTCTCTGATGATTTTCAAATAATACGCAGGCAAATTTATTCCTTCTTTTCGAATGATCTGCAAAAAGATGTGTTCTTTCTATGTGACGTCATCAGGCATGGTCGCCTTTTTTCATGCCGTCACAATAGGAAATTCAGAGAAAACAAGAAAATTCGACGTCATAATCGGATTTTAACCAATGAAGAACTGAGATCAAACAAACCACACGTTGATTAAATTTTTTTTTATACAATGGGTGCAGAAAGGGATAAATTGACGAAGAATTAGAGAACATGTTTTCCATTACAGACTTTGTAGATAATGTTTATATCAAAATGGCAGTATGATATTTATGTATTCATTAATGTTGTCCTATTGTAAAATATGGTATTTTTGTCAGCCAAATATTTTTAACTTATAAAGTGAAAGGGAAATACTTCAAGGATTGAAGTTCATTTGCTAAACATCTAAGATTTGCGATCAAGGTCAATTATTCAGAAACCACATAAACAGTATACAACTGACTGTTAAGAACAATTACGTAGTAAACCAAAACTGAATATTAAATAATATTTTTTAACAAAGTTAGGGAAAACATACTGGTGGAAAATTTAAGATCATCACTTTTCTTAACAACACAAAAATGACGCCCGCTTAGGTTCAGTGGAATTGCGAAAATACCGGAGTATCTAAACGTATGTACAGAGATAACAAGCACTTAATCCTCATTGGTCAATTAGATATCATAACCCAATGATACTAGTTGATCTTGACCTTGTCACAAGATGACCATACTGACATTAACTACCTGTAATCAAAATCTAACATAATTCAAAGACAACCCCATGCTAATTTACAGTTTTATGTTACACTGTTGATAAGAATAATATCCTGCCCAAAATGTTTTATGTACTATAAAATGATTAAACAAAATCACTCTGATAAAATGAGAAAAATACGAAAACCCGCTTGATTCCTAATTGATGTTATTAATATTTGAATAATAATATTAATTCTAATTTTCATTGGCTTAAACTTACTGTAAAATCCGCAATTGACTAATTTTTCAAATCCACAAATGTTCGATCAATATTATATAAGCGAAAATTTAAACGCGAGCTGCCTCAAAAATGCCGTTTTAATGAAATATTATCAAAATATGAATCGTACAAGTATCGAAATAACCTTCGGTTTGAAGGTTTTTATTTGAAGGACGACATGTTTGGCAATGACATTTATGCGCCAGAATCATTCATAAAGTTTCGCGGAACTTTCTTTTATCTTAAAAAATAAACATTTTTGCAAGCTCTAATGTACAAGTTTTTTTGTGTTGCATTTATATAGGAATAACAGAACTGTGGTTGAAGATTTGCCGTTGTCAAATCGCAATTGATGGTGACAACTCTTCAACTAATGTACTGTTGTTCCTTAATTATACTATTTATGATCATTTCTTATTTGCACAAATGGTAAATAAATTGACATTTTTGGATTAAAAATACACTTTCGAAACCCTGAATGCATTTTTGTCGTACTGTCAGATTAAGCAGCGTACAATTTGGTGCATGTATGAAGTAGATACCACACGAAAGTTCTCGAATGTAAAACAAGTTGTTTTATTCTTTATTTTTGAGGCTTTATGCTTCGAGGAGAGTCGATTAGTAGACAATATTACAACCTTCCAGTAAGCATTTCACAACTAACATATCTGCCTTTTTTTACCTTCTTATGGGAGTTACATGCATTGCCCCTGAAATGGTCAAATTTAAGGTTAGTTGATTATCACTAAACCTGGTACAAGATAATGTCATGGGATCTGTTGAAAAGAGTTGCGAAGCACATGACCTTAAAAACATTCAATCGGATGTGACTCTGAGTAAACATGATATAATCATTTTCTCATATTTTATGCAAAAGTTCCTAAAAACAATAGTTATGTGGAATTGGTATACAGTAACTTATTATATGATATCGGAAATGCCGATTGATACTAAGAATAACGATTAGTAGCCAGAACGTGACTATTTATGTCAGTTGTTTAATAGAAAAGTACATCTAAATTTCTATTTTGATAATCTCTGTCAGATAAGCTATTATTGTTGAGAGTTTTTGAATTAAAAATTGCCCTATTTCAACCATATTTTCTTATCAACAAATAAAATTCACAAATAAAATTCAAATTACAGTTTTTTTATATATATTATTAAAAGTATTGTTTTCTTTCAGATATTTGCAGGACAATGAAATTACTTTAATAGAACAAGGAGCGTTTCAAAACTTATCCAATCTCGGCAAAATGTATGTATGAATTTGATAAAAATAATGTAAATAGTAGACTGAATATTATGTTCGCATAACTGTCAACCTATGAAAATGAAAATGCATTTCATGACCTGCATTGAAGAATAAAATCTCAGGTCATAACGCGTACGAACTTTTTTCAGGCTGAACTTAAGTATTTAGGGGACATATTTTTTTATATTTTAAAACAAACATTATCCAAAACATGTTCCAATGGTTATATATTAACTGAAAATAATTTAAAACTATTATTGTTGCAATGCACTTATGATTTTGATATATTGTTGTTTCATAAAATACTTTTACAATTCAAGACAAGCCATAACCCCACTTTCTTTATAATCAGTTCACCAGTCACAAGACACTCAGAGTGCATCTATCTGTACAGTTTTATATAATCTATAAAGATGATGATGGGAGTTTTTAATGACCTTGACTGGCTATACAGCCCTCGCACGGTCGGTACATCTTTAAAGATTGGTTGATGTTAGAGTATATAAAAAAAGTTAAACATTTAAAGGAAGTAGAGATGTTTCTAATTGTTCTGAGGTAGAAAAGTAATGAAAAGTAATATTGTAATACGTATTTGCATTCAATTTATTTTAGATTTAATATTTTTTACAAAACTAAACATAAATTTATGGAGTATATTTTGAAAGGTGACAAAAAAGGGGAAGTAACTCAAATGTTTTGTGAAACAACTTTGAAATACACAAATTATTTACGACCTAAAGCTAAGGTAATTGGTGTTAATTAACAGTGTGCTTGACACCAAAGCTGTCAAGTGAAGCCATGCACTAAAATGGGTCACTTAATTTGAGGCTACACAGCTAGTTGAACTTCTTGTCCAGGAAGAATTACGAATTTGCCGGTATTTCAAAGGAAAATCACTTATGAAATCAGTCTGAAGGCTTAATAATCCGGGTAAAAACGGGTTATTTTCGGAATTCCCGAGTTATTTAACGACACGGCGGGTATCCCGGGTGAACCCTCAGAGTTGTGAAAATCTCGGGTCACACCCGCAGGATACGGGTCAGTTGACAGATATGTCTTCGATATGTTTGTATTGTTTTTAACTTATTAGTTATGTTCAGTAATTTAGTCAATTTTCATACCTATCCACTATGATAATCCAGAATTGTTCAATCTCATCGCGTGCAGTCCATTAAAAATCCGATATGTCTATGTTAGACTGTTCAGAAGTTGAAATATACCTGTTCAAATCAACACAGTACTGAATTTTCTGAACTATACATGATTGACTGAAAGTGAAATGTATGAACAGTAATGAATTGATGGCAAGCGAAATGTCTAAACAGTACTGAATTAACAATAAGAAAATATCTGAAATAAAAACGCAAACTCTTAACAAGATAACATGTTTTCCATTTCAGACTTTGTAGATAATGTTAATATCAAAATGTTTTTAAAGATATTTATGTATTCATTAATGTTATACTATTGTAAAATATGGTATTTTTGTCATCCAAATTTTTCTTCTTAACTGATAAAGTGAAAGGGAAATACTCAAAGGATGGAAGTTCATTTACTGAACATCTAACACAAGATTTGCAATCAGGGTCAATTATTCAGAAACACAAAAATATAATACAACTGACTGTTAAGAACTATTTAGTAATAAACCAAAACTGAATAAATTACAAATTGTAAAGGTGGTGAATAAATACTGATGGGAAATTTAAAATCTTCCCTTTTCTTGACAAAACAAAAAAAAGGCGACCGCTAGCGTTCAGTACAATTGCAAAAATGCCGGCGCATCCAAACGTATGTGAAGAGATAACATGCACTTAATCCTTGCTAGTCAATTAGATATCATAACCCAATGATACTAGTTTATCTTGGCCCTCATCACAAGATGACTTTAACTGCCTGTAAGAAAAAACTTAGATAATTACCAAACAACCCCATGCAAATTTACAGTTACATTTTACATTGTTGATCAGAAAAATATCCTGCCAAAAATGTTTTTATGTTCCATCAAATGATTAAACGAAATCACTCTGATAAAATAAGGAAACAAAAACCCGCTTGATTCCTATTTGATGTTGTTATTATTTGTATAATGATAATAATTCTATTGCAATCTTTATGTAACATTTTTGTCATTGGCTAAAACTTATCGTCAAATTCAAAATTGACAGGAATTGGGCGGACATTTGAATTTTTTTAATTCACAAATGTTCCATTAATATAATATAAGCAAAAATTTAAACGACAGCTGCCTCAAACCGTTGTTTTAATGAGATATCATCCAACTTTGAATCGTACTAGAAACGAAATAAGTTCGGTTTGAGCGTTTTAATTTGTATTCCGTCATGTTTGCAAGATTTATGCGCCTGAAGCATTCATAAAGTTTCGCAGAATTTTATTTTCTCTTATATTTTTACATTTTTACAAGCTTTAATGTATTTGTGTGTGTGTGTGTTACATTAGAATAGGAAAAACAGAACTATTCTCGTGCAGAGTTTTCAAATTAAAAATGGCTATTTTACAACCTTATTTTCTTAGTAACAAATAAAATTGAAATTACAGTTTTTTTTATATATTTTTAAAAGTATTGTTTTGTTTCAGATATTTGCAGGACAATGCAATTACTACAATAGAACAAGGAGCGTTTCAAAACTTAAGAGGTCTCTACATGATGTATGTATTAATTATATAGAATAATATAAAGAGTAGACTGAATATCATGTTTTATATGTTTCACGGCTGTCAATCGGTATATCGAGAAAAACGATCGTGAAAGAATAGGTAACGGTGATCAAGCATTGCGATTTGATCGTGAAAGATCTGGTATCGGATAGTGAAATCAATTAAATACATTTACCCTTCCCTTTTCACGAATGTGACCTACCGAATTAGACTATTTACCGGATTTGTAATAACATCAGCAACACGACGGGTGCCATATGTGGAGCAGGATCTGCTTACCCTTCCGGAGCACCTGAAATCACCCCCATTTTTTGGTGGGGTTCGTGTTGCTTAGTCTTTAGTTTTCTATGTTGTGTTATCTGTACTATTATTTGTCTGTTTGTCTTTTTATTTTTGGCCATGGCGTTTTCAGTTTGTTTTCGATCTATGAGTTTGACTGTCCGTCTGGTATCTTTCGTCCCTCTTTCGTATCCAAAATCTGTGCAAATATTCGTTGTATTATCTAAACGCAAAAAATTTTAAAAAAGGAAATATGTCCGTCAAAATGGTTCAACTTCCTGAATAATTCGGTGCACAAAGGTAAAGAAAAAATGCAGTAATTTTTGAGAAAACAAAATAGGCGAAACATAACCATATGCAAATCATTAAAAAAACACGTTTTGAATGAAAAATGGTCAAATTCCAATAAATCTTGATATATTTAAAACTTAATCTTTTGTGTGTCAGATAGAATGGAAAAATGAAATGAGATGTTTTTCTTGAAAATTAGATTATTTTTTCAAAGATGGGTTTTGTTTTAATATTTCATCAAAATTGATCGTGAAAGATAAGGCAACGGGTTATTTTGATCGTGAAATGTGTCACCAGACAAGACTGTTAAGGTTTTGCACATCGACAAAGGCCGTATGGTGACCTAATAATGCTTACATCTACGTCATTTGGCCTCTCCTGGATATTTGTCTCATTGGCAATCATATCACATTTTCTTATTTTTCATACATATCATCAAAAAATAAATTTCTTCTACCATTGATGTACTTTGATTGATTGAAGCATGTTATATCTGAATAGGAATACAATGTTTTGGTGTAATTGACCACCACCTCATTTTCTACAAAAACTTAAAAAAAACTAAATTAGAAATAGTACTTAAATAGTATTTTTATATACATAAAGTACTTCCATGACCATTCACAGACTAAAAATAAACATCATATATGTGTTGAAAGTCTAACGCTTTCATCCTTGACAAAACTTGCTGAGGATTCTATTTTACAACCAAGATAATAAGGTCACCAGCAACCGAACTTGTCGTAAAACAGTATCTTTTTATCTATAATGCTTTTGCGAATGCGCGAAGCATGAGGGGGACTGTGGTCTTTTCTGGAAACACATTGAATATGTACGCATCGATATGTAAGTTATAGTACCCAACTAGGTGGTGACAATTTCAACGTGCGTACCTCGATTATGGTTGGATGGATTTCCTAGCATGGTATGTAAATTTACCGATTGTGTTCTATTCCCGATCGTAACAAGTCTGGGTTCACCTTGCTTGGTGATGGGTTCATAGCAGAATACGCTTATCTTGCTGACAATATAATCTTGCTCAGTTTGGAGATATTATAAAGTTACCATTTGCGTTTTTCTAATGGTATGTTTCTTCCAAAACGGGTTTTAATCTAAAAGGATATACAGTTCTCTTACGCTAAGCACACATCACTAGTAATAACAGCTTACAATGTCTTATATTCATAGTGTTCCTATATTTTACGGCATTTCGAAAATTGCAGCTAACGGATAATGTTTTACGGAATGACATAACTGTGTTTTAATTTTCATTAAAAATCCTAAAACAGACGGATCATTCTCAAATTGTGTGACTTTTCTTATTATAAAAGATCTGTTTTACCGCAAATTGGACACCGCTTCTATATTTGTAATAGCAAAATACACCTAATTGCTTTTCGTTCAAGTCCGAAACTGAAAGAGTTAATTTCTTTTTTTTTCTATTTGAAACAATTTGACACTGAGAATAAATCTGAAATTCCATACTTTACCCAAATATATATTATTGTTGAAGTCCTAAGATGAAAATCATAACTTGTTAATTCAATAACAAAAACTTCAGTATTACCACTGTGAAATTTCCCTTTCATTTTCAGATGCAACAAATATGAAATCCCCGGAATCAATTTTCCAATAATTACATTACTTGTATGTTTCATTAGACAACAATCGCGAAGCACTCCAATGTCATGTATTCTTTCTGTATAAAATACAACAGCTATGACTGCACATGCCATCCGTGATAATGTTAAAATAATGCATAGAAAAACAAACGAAAAGCTTTTAATTTCATAATTGTACCAAAAAAATGTAATTATAAGAATTGAATTATCTTTTTATAATTTTATAGGGTTGTAAAAAGGTTGATTTTACATTTTTAATGTGCTTCAGTCAACGCCTTTATACCCCCAAAATATTATAAAATCGGTATTGTCTTATTAAAAATCCCACACCAAATGGCATTGAACCACCATAGCATTAAGTTTTATTCCCCAACAAAGGTGAACCGAAAAAAGTGATGGAAGTCCAGTCTTTTGTTGTTAAAAGAATATAATAAATGTTCATTTAATTATAAAATTATTCGAATGCTTTAAATGATTTGTGAAATGGCAGATTATCGACACCAAATCTTTCACGATCCTTTTCACGATAAAAAAAATAGTGGTACTCGATCTTTAACGATCCTTTCAATAAAAGTTATATGAACAAAGGCAACAGTAGTATACCGCTATTCGAAATTCATAAATCGATTGAGAAAAAAACAAATTATGGTTACAAACTAAAACTGAGGGAAACCCATCAAATATAAGATGAAAACAACGACAAAACAGAAACTCAACACTCAAATGCAACACACACAGAAACGAACTATAATATTACAATGGCCATTTTCCTGACTTGGTACAGAACATTTTAAGAAAAAATGGTGGGTTGAACCTGGTTTTGTGGCTAGCCAAAACCCCGCTTTTATGGCAATGTTAAATATAACATTAAAATGACAAGATTACATGACAGGACTACAATACAAATAAATGAGAGAACATACAGGACAGAGACACACACAAATAATAGCTATCAAGAGGTACCAGGCTTATAATTTAATACGCCAGACGCGCGTTTCGTCTACATAAGACCCATCAGTGACGCTCAGATCAAAAAAGCCCGAAAGCCAAAACAAGTACAAAGTTGAAGAGCATTGAGGACCAAAAGTTCCAAAAAGTTGTGCCAAATACGGCTGAGGTTATATGCCTGGGATTAGAAAATCCTTAGTATTTAGAATAATTCCTACTTTTGCAAACAGTAAATTTATAAAAAGGACTATATAATAGATATACATGTTAACACCGATAATATTTCTACCTCTATTTCTGAATAAGCTATTAAACGTAATTTTAAGAGCCATTTAAAACATTAGAATAAAACGACATTGTTAAAGGAATAATGATTTAGTCATGAATAAAATCATGTTTGTTTACATTTATGATGTCATTGAAATGTTGAAGAGCAATCTGCCTTTTGTAGTTTTGTAAAAACGGCGATCTTTTACACTCTAATTTTCTCAGATATTGATTATAATGTTAAACCATTTTGACGACAGTTTTATCATTCTAAAGATGTGTAGTTTTATTCTAATAAATTAGATTATCTATTGACCTTACATGTGTTTACTCGATAAGATTTCCTTCACGATATCATATAAGCTTTCACGATCCTATCGCAGTACTTGACCACCACTACTTATTATTTCACCATCATTTTTCGATATACCGAATGACAGCCGTCTGTTTGTTGTTTTGTTTTAAACTTATCCACAATCGGAAATGAACTGGAAATAAAGGCAACAGTAGTATACCGGTGTTAAAAAGTCATAAATCGATTGAGGGAAAACAAATCAGGGTTGCAAACTAAAACCGAGGAAAACACATCAACTATAAGAGGAAAACAAAGGAACAACAGGAACACAGAAGTGCAACAAAAACAAATGCCAACATACATAGAAAAGAACTATTTGATAACAACTGCCATATTCTTGACTTGGTACAGGACATTTTAAGAAAACATGGTGGGTTGAACCAGGTTTAATGGCTAGAAAAACCTCCCACTTTATGACAATGTTAAAAAATATCGCTAAAATGACAACACTACGTGACAGAAATACAGCACAATCACACGCAAGAACATTCATCACAGAGAAACGCACAAACAAATAATATAATAGTTCGACACAACATGCAAACCGCGCGCAGAACAACAACGAACATATTCTATCAACGACAAACACTACAGGATATCACAAACAATGACGCGCTTACGTAACTAACACGCAATCTCGAACTTTATACAATTATTTTCACAATATTCGTCCACACAATTTTCATGACAATGATGGTATTGAAAGGCAATTTTATAATTATTTGGACTACACACGATAAGACCTAACACATTATCCAACCGAAACGGAAAGTGTGTCAACAGGTAATTAAATACTACTAGATAATCGATTTTGAACTTAAACAGACATTTTGATTTGAACAGGTTTACATTTAATTCAGATGCACGTAATCTATGAAGTGTTTTAATTTTTTTTCTATTAGTAGACAATCATATCATAACATTTAATTCCGAATATTTCACTTTCAAATAAGGGGGGGGGGGGCCTTGGAAATTTTTGGATATGGAAAGGGGTGTGTTCAATTTTTCAATACTTCAGATAAGCGGGATCGAAAAATTTTTGTGACCCACACCCACTTCTCTCTTATACAATAAAAAATATTATATTTTGGCACAAAAGGCATCATTTTTGTTCGCCTCCCTGCGCTCGGCTTAAGTTTTAAGATTCAATATCTTCTTCCAAGAATGTATTTTTATTTGAATTTTCCAACTTCTTTTTAATGGATATACATGAACAATGTGCTGAGTTT